GGCTCTGTGGGGTTGGAATGCGTTGTGAACTGCACGCAAGCCTCAGGTGACTGCAGGGAGAAGTCCACCAGAGAATTCCTTGGAGGGCTCACCTCCATCGAGATGGAGGGCAGGATCGTCGAGCAATGCAGCTGCGTCGAGCTGAAGGTGTCCTCCGTCAGGCTGTTGATCGTCGTCTGACGCTCTTTATTGCTAACGACGGGGGATACATACGACGCCGAGCTCTCGGCGCCATTCCAGTGGATGGAGCTGCCGGGCCGCAGGACGGGTTCCCCCGGGGGCGGCGTGGACGCACCGCCGGAGGTGGACGACAGGCGTGCTGGAGACGGCACCGACGCCTTCGCCACCGACGCCTCAGTGGTGTGAGGTTGAGGATCCGATCGAGGCGAATTCATTGCCCCGCCAACCGTGTCGTACGCACTCCTCTGGTTGCTTAGACGACAAGTCGCAAAGGCTAAGACTGATAGGCGACCGAATGGGAATCGAATAATTATCAGAATGTTATAAAACTCGCTGCGAATGGGTTACAAAAGGTGTTCTGCGCTACGTGTGTTGGAGACGCGTATTTTACTCTATCGTAAAATAAAAAAGGTGGAAATTAAGAGAGAAAAGTTCTTGTCCCTGTCACCTCCATTTTTTTAATCTAGGCGCCACAATAATAACGACAAAATACGTAATAAAAATTAGAAGCATATAGACAAATTTAAGATCCTAATATGATATCAATAAAACAATAAAAAATCAAAATGCATTGAATTCGGAAATAAAATAAAAAAATGATAATTATGCGGCATAAAGGCAAGACTAGCGTAATTTCACTTGAATACGCTTCTTCTTATATAAAAATATATCCGAGAATACATACAATCCTGAAAGCTGAAAAAACTATCTAAGATATATATACGTAAGAGATGTAAGTTAGATAATAATATAGACACATCTCCATAGTAAATATTTTTCAAGGTTATTCCTGGATAAATTTATATGTTAAAAAGCAATGCAATAGGGAGTTGTGTCCATTTTGAAATGTAAATAAAGCACTCGCAGGGCCATCAGATCTCAAATATCTGATTCCTTTTTTTACTCGTTATTCTTGGTATTTCCAGCTGAGGACTCAAAGGTGGGTTTGGAATTCTTTTCCAAAAGCGGTATCAGCTTCTTTTCTATCTCATCTTCCGTAGCCCCTGGAGAAAACCGATATACGGGAACGCCGTTATGGTCAATTAAAAACGACGTAAAGTTCCACTTTATGGAAGTCGAGTTCAGAATGCCTCTCGCCGCGTCTTTGAGGTAATTGAACAACGGGTGCTCGTTTTTACCGTTGACCTCGACCTTCTCCATAATAGGGAATTCGGCCTTGAACTTTGTGCAAATGGTAGCCTTGATTTCCTCGTCCGTCCCAGGCTCCTGTCCATTGAATTGGTTGCATGGAAAGGCCAGCACCGTGAAGCCCGTATTTTTGTACTTTGTGTAGAGCGCCATCGACGTCTTGTACCCACCGTTTGAGTAGCCGCACCTACTAGCGACATTGTAAATGAGAAGCGGGTGCCCCTTGTGTTGTAAAAGGTTGTAGGGCTTGTGATCCAAGTCGTTAACCTGGAAATCGTAGATGGAGGAGGGCATTTTGGATACTGAAGGGTTAGGATGTTGAGGGAAGTGCGGTCGAAGTAAAACTTTTGGTTTTGCGAGTTTCAACATATACAATCTTCTTAAAGAAGGAAAAAGGGAGTATCAAATAGACAAAAAAAACTGAAATAAAAATACCAATAGATAAGCTCAGCCCAAGCAGGTGTCCTCCGCTTCATGTATACAAAGAAGAGATACAATATTTTTAAAAAAGAAAAAGAGTAATTTAATTTGACTCAACTTTAGTGCTTGCATTTTAAATCAAAAAATTTACTACCCTTGTCTTACGTGATGGTCCAGGAGGTAATGCTATGAATACATTATAAATACTCAAGTTATTTTCTGAGTGGTATAATGTTAACGAAATGACGTGTAACCTCTCTTGAAGAAATACCATCCTGGCAAGCTCAATAAAAATATTACCTGTGGGTTATTATTAAAGTAAAAAAAAAAATTGTAATAAGACTTGTTTACCAATGGCAATTTTTAAATAAAATTTATGATGACAACATTTTTATCTACAAGAAAAATATCAAAAAGCCAAAATACTAATTTCCTTTAAATGAAACAATCAGATCACCAAACTGTGCTACAAAAAATTCAACAGTACACATGAATACAACAGAAAAAAAGTGATTTTGTATTCAATGGATTTAAAAAAATGTGGTTTCATTTTACTTCACAATAGAACGCTTGCTTAAGTTATTCAACTTTAAAAGTACCTATGGAAGTAGTTTGACCTCTTTGTACTATAGATTTTCCAGACTGTAAAAACGACTTCGTCTTCAGATATCCATCAATAATATATTTATAAAAGAAAAAATGAAATATCTACTGACAACTAAATATACCTATCATTTACTCCAGAATTGGTTATCAGATATTTAAAAAAGCAATGATAGTATTATAACAAGCTTAAAATCGAAAAAAAAAATATATATATAGAGAGAGAGAACGCTTCTTATTCCTTAGAGTTCCATTCTGCGTAGGGCGCTCGGCCGATCTCGTAGGGTGTGTGGGGTGCCCCCCCAATCCGTCCCAGGGCCCAACCACTCCCGTCTTGACAAAACCGGCCTAACAGAACGGAGACCTCCCCCCTTTCCCCTACAACAGGGGATGGGTTTGGTAGGCCTCGGCGGGCCAGAAGCTGCACTGGACCTCCCCGATGTGGGCCTTGCGGAGGAGGAACATCGCGACGCGGCTTCGCCCGATACCCCCTCCGACGGTCTGTGGAAGACGCTCGGCGAGGAGGTCCTGATGCCAGGGCAGGGCCATGCGCGCGGTGTCGCCGATCGTCTCGAGCTGCTTCCGCAGCGTCGCGGCGTCGACGCGGATGCCCATGCTGCTGAGCTCCAGCGCCTCATCCAGCAGGGGGTTGTAGACGAGGATGTCGCCGTTGAGTCCCGGGAAGGACAGGCTCGCGTTGATGCCCGGGTGGAGCTCGGGGAAGTGCGAGACGGCGTCGTTGTTGGAGATGGGCGAGGTCCAGTCGTCGTAGTCCGGGGCGCGAACGTCGTGGTACTCGCCATGGGAGAGTTTGCCCCCAATGCCAATCAGAAAGACGGCGCCGAACCGCTTCACCGCCTCGCGCTCGCGGGCCTTCGGGCTGAGGGCGGGGTACTTGTGCAGAAGCTGCTCCGCGTGGATAAAGGTGATCGTCTCCGGAAGCGTGGGCTTGAGTTGGGGATAACGTTCACTGAGCTTTAACTCGGTCGAGCGAAGAGCGGCGTAGATGCTCTCCACGGTTTTCTTCAGGAAAGCGAAGTTGCGGTCCTCGGGTCGCATGACCTTTTCCCAATCCCATTGGTCCACTACAAAGGAATGCAAGTTGTCGAGGACTTCCCCAACCCGCAAGGCCTTCATATCCGTAACGATACCCTTCCCAATGGGGAATTTGTAATCGCCAAGTGTCTTACGCTTCCATTTCGCCAAGGAGTGAACCACCTCAAAGTCGGATTCGGGAATCGCATTGATACCAACCTTGACACTCTTCTCAAACCCAGAAAGATCGTCCTGGATGCCTGTTCCCACACGAATTACGAAGGGGCACTCAACATTGATCAGATCTAGATTCTTCTTCAGCTCTTCACCAAACAAATTTTTGGCAGCGCTGATTTGCTCTTGGAGCTGAGTGTAGGATGTGTATTGAGATGACATTGCTGTGGAATTCTTTGAAAATATTGGAAGCGAAGCTTTTATCAAATAACAGAAAAAGTTTGGAAATGATATTGAAATCAGAGAAAAACAATTATATTCAAACACACACTATATATATGGATCAGTGAGGTGTTTACACTAATTAGATAATGATAATAAAACAAACAGCATTGTCTCAAATATGTTTTTTTTTTGGAATCAATGTATCAATAAATTAAATGATATTGTAGAAAGGTATCTACACAAATACCTCTGTCATTTCAGCACAGCGCAGATTCTCAGTCTATGGCTTTACTTCCCCCTCCCAACTCTTGCCCTCTGGTAAGCCAGAAAACGATTCTGTATTTCAAGACCTTGTGCAGAAGATTGATTTGCCTGCCAATTACAATTTTAAAAATAATTTAAAGTGCCTCCGGGGCTGCGCCGCCCCTCAGAGCGTTCCGTTCAATATTATTTGCGGTCTTCAACACCTGTTGTACAAAGGTCATCGCCTCTGACAGCGGCGCCAAGTTCTCGTTTATACTATACGATGGGCGAAACCTCCAATGGACCGTTGATCCACGAGAGCGGAAGAAAGTCAGTTTCGAGGACGGGCAAAGTACTTCCTCCATATAGTCCGGCAGTTTGCCCGCGCCGCCGCGGCCCCGGTTTTGGGCAGCCCTTGGCATCGTCTGCTTTTGCGTATGCCGAGCGCCCATGGCAGGGATGGTACCCCCGCGCATGAAGTTGTTATTGCTTGGCTTCTGCATCGCCGCCACACGCTCTGGGCCGTACTGCGCGATCTGCTCCTTCAGTTGCCGCGCCGCCGCGAAATTCTCGATAAAAAGCGAGGTGGTGGTGTCGATAAGCAGGTCGGTACCCCGAGGCTTCACGCGCGAGGTGTGCTCGACTACAATGCTCTCGACGTTGTAGTCCTCCGCGGCGTAGTCCTCCTCACAGACGTGGGAAAGATCCATGCGCTCGTAGCCCACACTCGAGCCGTAGTTGATGAAGTTGTGCTCCGCAAGGGAGAGTTTGTCCAAAATCGCGTTCGCGAGCTCCGCGGCGGGGTGATCCTGGTGCTGCTTCCAGCGCCGAAACACCCTAAATTCAACCTCGAAAGGGTACGCAACCGTCTTTTTGCGGCCCCCGGTGGCCTGAGCCGTCGCCGAGCCGCCTTCGAGGACTGTTGAATCCTTCATTGAGGACGTATCCTCATAAGGGTTCCCAAAACTATCCCCGGTCAACTGAACGTCGTTGGATGAATACTGGTTATTCGCCGCCTCAGCATCCAAGTCGTCGAGCGAAAAAACGGTCCAGTTAAAGCAGACCCCCATCCCTTCCATATCCGCCAGTTTGAAGGCGTTCTCCTTGCTATCCCACCTCGCCCGTGCCGTCATCCGAGTCTGCCGCTCGTTGGAGAAGAAGTTGATCTTAACCAAGGTCAGCGAGACCTCGTGGTGGAGCGCGCCGCATTCCATATCCACCGCGCGCGAAACGCACGTAGGGCAATCATTAATAAAATATAACTGCATCGACTCGTCGTTCATGCGCTCGACGAACTGAATAAAAGAGGCGTGTTTGAGCGGGGTCGCGTGTGAGCCGTGCCGCGCCAGACAGCAGTACGCCGAGCCAAGGTGAATATTCAGCGAAACGTGCTGTGGCCGGACATCCTCGAGGCTAAGAAGAAAGCGAAACTCCCGTAGGAAATAGTCCTTGAGCGTGGTAAAGTATTTCGACGTCAGCACTGGGCTGTTGGCGAGCCCCACGTCGTGGTTGAGGGTGGTGTCGTAGCCCTGGTCCCCGCTCCCGCGCTCCACCACGAGCGGCACCACCTCGTCCTCGCGCACATCGAAGTAGTGGTCGACGTCGCCGTGCTCGCTGGCGTCGTCGGGGTGATAACCCCCGCTGGGGTCATTCGGGCGGCTCGAGCCGTGCGAGGGCGAACTCGGTTCGGAGTGTTCGGTTTCGAAAAGGTCGTGGGGATCGCCAGGGGTGGGGGGGTCGGAATGGAAGCCGACATCGGCATCCGTCAAGGGCTGAACATCCTCGCCAACGCCGGGGAAACCGGCCTTGATATGGCGGGCGTTGAGCTCAGCAAAGGCGACGTCGGAGGGTTCGGGCGCGGCGGGCGGCGTTATCGCCTTCGCCGGGATCGACACCGTTGAATCGCGGTGCGCGTCCTTCACGGCTTCGGATTCGTTAACTGCCTTTTTCACCTCGGGGTTGGGATTCTCAGACCCTGCGAACGCCTCTTCAAGATCCGCCTCTATGAGCTCAATGCTCGGAAGGTCCTCAGACCCATTCGGAGTCCCCTCAACTTCCTGCCCCCCCGCGAAATTAGTCGCCTTGGTCGGGTCCTCAGCCCAGTTGGGCTCATTGTCTGCGGCACCGGCGGTTGGTATGTCCCCCTCCTCCAAGTCCTCCGGCCGCATCCGTGGCCTCCCAATGGACAGGTTAATTAAGCGAATTAATTTATTCTGCAGCTTAAACGGCTTGTTCCCTCGATGCCCGAACAACTTCAGAATGACCTCTTTATTCTCGTTCTGGAGGTTTCCGACGATTACGCAGTAGCGGCGCCGCTTTTCGCCGCGGAAGAGCAGCTGGCGGACCGTATCCGCCTCCCGCATCCCCTCTACGCGGCTGATGACGCCGCCGAATAAATAATCCCGCCCCGCATTCGCGGCAGAGGTGAGCTGCGGTGGGGGCATGTTCATGGGAATGTCTTTTTTGTTAAAAGCGGCAGGGATGGGGGTGTCGGTCTCGCCTTCCTCCGAGGCGGCGTCCTTCAGCTGCGAGGAGGGCAAAACAATGCTGGTGGTGGCGCCGGTGAGGACGGAAGTCGCGGCCTCGCTGGGCGGCTGCCGTTCGAGTTTTTCCGTGTGAAGGCAGCCCGAGAAGGTCCCGCGGCCGCGGCGAATCGGCGCCGGGGGGGCTGCCCCCGATCGGGTGGACTGAATGGTGAAGGTGGAGCCCGTTTTGGCGGGTTCAGGGGCCGTCTCGCGCGAAACCGCAGGCGGGTCCGCGGCGGCACCATTGAGGGACTCCATTCACGTACAATGAAGAATGGGTACCAATAATGTCACTAGGTTGGGGTTGATTTTCTGGGATTAGTAATATTAAAATTTTAAAATTTTCAGTTTTTTTGAAAAAAAGGTAATGGGATGGGTGGGAAGGAGAAAGAAGGAATACTAAGTGATTTACTTCATATTAGATTCGTTCTCCTGATGAGAGTGTCAGAAAGAAAAAAACAATAACGAAAGCCTTTGCATGGTATATGAGCTTCAGATTCAATCCGAACCAAGGTGTACTTTAATGACCGTGTTGCCAGAGCTCATAGGTGTTAAACTTTAACCAATCGACTAAAAGGAAAAATCTCAATAAAACTATGCCCTTTGTAGGGTGCACATTTTTTATCTTTTCAGGAAAATTCGCATAAAGTCAGACTATTGATGAAGTGACACTCTAAAAAAAAATACTTCTCGTGTTAATGTACTCATATCATTTGTTTGATGTAAATCAGCAGATCAAAGTCAGAAAGCAAAGAAACCCGAACAAAATTTGTTTGTATTTCACTTTTTTAGAGACAACCATCATAATAACAATCATACCTAATGAAAAAAAAAGTTTGTGCATGAACTAAACACCTTCGAAAGTACCACCATAAGCCTGAGAAATATCACGATAGCTCCCATTCCCTTACCACCCCCTCCCTGCTATCATTAAATACCAATTCACCTCTCTAATCCACACGCCGGCCGTACTTATCGACGCGAAACATCGACATGCCGATATTGCGAGGCCGGAGGCGGTTGTCCTTGATGTAGGTCCCAAGGCGGCCTGTGCATCGGCAGCTCTCCTCCATTCGCTTTAGGGCGTTCGCCCAGTCCTTCGCCGTGGGGTGGCGCACCGTCTTCGTGGGCAGCGCGGGCGAAAGCGAGACATTCACCCCGCGTTCATTCCCCACCACGCTTGTGACATGGTGGTAAATCGCGTTCGCCTCGGCATGGCTCTGGATGGCCGCGCACATCTCCCGGAGTTTCTGCATTGCCATCTCGGGGGACTGAAAGTCCTTAATCGTGATCCGCGCCGGGTGACCTTTCTGAAGGTCCTCGCAGATCTTCCGGGATTTCCAGCCAATAAAATGCGCATCCACGGCGTCGCGGAAGGTGTGCTCAATGAGCTTTTTCGCCTTTGATTCACGACCGGGCTCACCGACGTGGGATCTGGCAGTTTCGTATTCCTGCAGGTCTGGCTCGATCAACTTCAAGATGCGGTGTTGTTCGGTTCGAATACGGCAAAACGCCAGATCGTCGCGTGCGCTCATCTGGACTAAATTCACCCCCCGCTGTTTGGCCTCCTGCAAGGCCTCGGAAAGGGCCACCGGGGCGAGGGATACCTTTTCCTCCAGCCCGGTCTCCGCGTTCTCGCGATGCGTGATCTGAACGCGTGGTTGGGTAATAAGGATGTCAATGGGGTGCTGCTGGAGGTAATGGCGAACTTTCTCCACCGCCGAGGTCGGCGGGTCTGCCGGAAGGAGCGCGTAGAGGACGCGGTCAAAATTTTTGCGGGCCGTATCTTTCAGCACATCATTCTGCATGCTGGCCATGGGATCGAACTCGTAGTCGATCCTGATCTCCGACTCCAGCATGGTAGGATTCTCAGGCCCACTGCTAGATGGGCCCGAAGTGAACTCGCCATCGCCGCCGGATTTACCGCTTCCACTGTATGGCTTGCTTGAAAACGACGCGGTGCATCGATGAGAGGTGAGCAAAGGGATCGTTAAGAACATGGGTGCACTCGAATAACGCATCGAAACACGAGAGAGAGACCGCACACCAAAGCAAAGTGCGGACGACTCACGCGAAAGAACCCGGACAAAAAGCCCATCCAACGCCGTGCTGGTTACGCGGCGTATGGGAAGAATTACATTTCGATCAAGGTATCGACTAGACAAACAACTTAAAGTTTTATGGTGCATTATAATACTGTAAAAAGGGAAAGATATTGAAGAAGATAAAAAAGATGTGAGCACAATGCTTCTATAAGAGAATAACACTACCCTTCCCCCTTTTAGCCCCACCTCAGAAGCTAAGCTGCATAGTTTATCCTCGAAAGAACGATCCCGCACTGCACGGGAAGAGTGCAAATAAAGATGCTTACTACCTACACACAAACACACACAGAAGGATAAAACGAACCGAGATACTAAAAGCCCTTCTTCAACGTAAAAGTCATACTAACCCCGTAGTGATCGGAAGGAAATAAATACGCCGGTGCGGCACCATTACCATTTTCCTCATTCACGCTTTTGGTGCCGACCAAGTGGGTCTCGATGGGCATCAGCCGCTGGCTCCGCAAGAAGATTTTGTCGGAGCGTCCGTAAAACATCTCCTCCACCTTGAGCTTGCAGAAGGTGTTGGTCTCGTCCATCGTTTTCCCGGGATTATGCGGGTGAAGGATGGGCCAACACTCGAGGTAGTGCGTCTCGCTCGGCATGAGGAATTCGTTTCCGGGGTAGTCGTTGAAGTCCCCCATCGCGATGGAATCCTCGCCGTGGGGAATGCTTTTCACGAGACGCTGGCGAAGCGCCAAGTCCTGCGCGGTTCGCGCGTTTTCGTGGGCTTTCGTGAAAGGTGCCAGGAGGTGGACGGCGGCGATGTGCACCGGCTTCCCCACTACCTGTAGGCTGACGACGGGCATGAGCGAAAGATGCCCAGACCACGCGGGGACGTTCACATGCCGGAGCTCCACCACCGCCCGGCGCCGTCGATGAATTAACATCGCAACCCCCCAGGGATGAATCACGGCGCTGGATTCCGAGCACGAGAGAAAATACCGCTCCCGACACCACCTCTGCGAGGCCAAAAATTGAAGAAAGGCCGGCTCCACCTCCTGCATCCCCACCACATCCGCGTCCTCGTCAGCAATGCACTTGGCGAGGACCGGATAACGCTGGGGGGTGCACCAATCAATCCCAGGCATACCGAGGGGGGTGGGCTGTCCGCTATATCGGTCGAACATCACATTCCACGTCAACACTTTAAACGTCTCATCAGAAGAAGAAGAAGAAGGCTCAGGTGGGCCGTCCGGGTCCGCCGCATTGCGAGCCTCCTCCTCCCCACCGCAGGGAAAGTGGAGGATGGGCTGCCATTCCTGGGCTTTGACGTCAAACTGGCAGGATCCCCCTTCCGACGCGCGTAAGGCCATCGTCATGCCGGAAATCGCGTTCCGCGCTCGCCGAATCCCCTGCTTACGCGCCAACACCCCGATATCAACGTACTCCATCCGCCATAGCCGGGATTTATCGCTCTGCAGCCAGCAATAAGAAGGGGAAAGGCAAAGGCACTTATGCGGATGCTCCGGGTCGGCGTAGGAAAGCGCTTTTTGCACGAGTTGATGGGACTCATGGATGTCGGTGGTCTGCAGGATTTGTTTCACGAGCTCCGTCTTGGGGACCATCCCCACATAGAGATGTAAGCCACTCTCGATGGTGGAAGACTGGACCTGGCAAAGAAGTGTGTACTCCGCCGCGGTAAGGGGCTGGCCGGGGGACCAAAAGCGACAGTCCGAACCTGCGTCGGAAGGGGGAGTATTCGCCAGCGCGTTATCGGTCTTGCTAGGCGCCAATTGGACATCCCCAACGGGCAGTGATTGCGGGATGGTTGTTGGGGGTTCTTCGTTTTTTTTGCAAACCGCGATTTCTTTGGCGTCATCCGACACTGGCGAAGTCGACACGGGTTCTTCCATCAAAGAAGAACTATTCAAAGTTGCCGGGGAATTCCTACTCTTCCGCTGGAATGAAGAACCCCCTGCCCTCCGCTTTTTTACACCCTTCAATATCAAGGCCTTCACGTACAATGCCAAGCTATTAACCGAGACATTCTTCCCCAATTCATCACCGATCTCATTTTGAGAATGTGGGACGTGAAAGGGGTCAGGAGTGTAGCCCAGGCAAAGCATGGCGTGACTCTGAAGGGCGCACTCAAGATAGCTATCCGAGAACTCGTCTCCAGCCTTCTTTTTGAAGGTGAACTGTGTTTGGTTGCCAGTAGATGACATGGCTTTTTCATTTGATACCGTGCCGTTATCACTTTTCAACCCCTTTGCACTTGTATCATGCGGGCCCGAAGAGATTATCTCAAAGAAGTTTTCCAAATCCAACTCAAGCGTGTGGCCAGGGGTATCTTCGAATAAATAGAAGGGCACATTTTCATCTTTTAATCGGTCAGACTTATTGGGATCCGCGCCCGCAGAGGATTCGCTGTTGGAGGACAATTCAAAAGAGCGACTGCAGTAGCGATCCCACAATATAGAAAAGCGGGCGTTGTTCGTTGATACAAACTCGGTCGCCGCACATCCATTGCAAATTAAATACAAAAACAGCGCATCCGTGCGAGCGTGCGCGACAAGCGTACTATTCCCTTTTGTCGCGAATCCATCCAGCTCCAACCACTCCAACAACGAGGACATCGTGGTTTGCTTCATATCCGCCATACCCTGCACAACGCTTCGGACATCGTAATAGGGCGTCAAGGCGAGAGCGTTAAGAAAGAGCTCCGAAGACCCAATGAAGCACAGGGACTCCTGGTTGGCATTAAAGCCTTCGCGGCAGGCCAGGTCGAGGGCCCAGGCGGAGAATTTCTCCTCAACACACCCCATCACCCCGGTGCCGGAGATCACCACCTCACTGGGCAGCAAACGAAGCTGATCCTCAGGCATCATCCGCACCAGACGCTCCTCGACCATCTGCATTAAAGCCGTCCCAGGAAGCCGCACGAGACGGCTCTCGAGACGGCGAGTTAGCGAACTCCGCCGGGTCACGTCGGCCTTCGCGAGGGATTCGGCCCCGTCCATGGCGATCAGCAACGACTTCCGGCAGTTGATCTTCCGCAGCAGCTGCTGGACGCTATGCAGGACGTGCCGGCCGACATCGCGCTGTCGCCGCTGCTCGTTCGAGGCGCTCTTCGCAAGCCGGAGGGCGTTCCCCACCAGCCCGCTGACGTCGATGCCGACGTAATCATAGCAGACCGTCTTTTTGGTGATGAGCAACTGGGCGCAGCTCGTCACAGGCCGGTTTCGAAAGCTGCTGCCAAAGCGTCGAGAACTCCGTGAAAAGGCCATACGGGTGGCTCTACCAGGTGCTGAAATGGGTGAGTTTGGATACCCCCTCTTTTTTTGTGTGTGTGTTGTTGATGAATATTTGGAAGTTCCTGCCGCAGGCTTAGCGATGTACGTTTTATTATAGTAGTAGTAGTAGTTGTTGTTGTTGTTATTCGCTTCTCAGTTTATTTCTGTAGTTTCTTGTCCTAACACAATGATCCCTCATCATACCTGTTTTAAATTTTACTTTTTCGCTCGGTCAGTTTGAAGAGTAAAAAAATAAAAAAGACGACAGGAATTTACAGAGTCTTAGATCCTACTGAAGGTGGGAAGGAAATGGAGAAAAAAAAGCATTCAGAGATACCACAAACTGTTGGTAATTTTCATAAAAAGATACACCCGTAATAAGAAAATAGTTGTACTTTGTGTTATCAAAATGAATAGAGATTTAATCGTCAGCACCACCGCACATACACAAACAAGGGGATGCATATAGAAAAGAACTCCATAGCTATGTATGTTTTCTACTACTATCTTCCCTCCCATCGCATGAAATTGGTGCGAAAAGAGTAAAGAAGTTGCAAAACAAAGGCCTCTGTAAACACAAAAAACAACAACTTGGGATTGACTGGGGCTTTCTTCTTCATCCCCATTCTCACACTCAACGGTCCACATTCAAGTGAAAGATATGAATGTACCGCCATCTGCTCAAACCGCTTCCTTGTTCCTCATCTTCGTTTAAAAGTCGCATTTTAAGAAACAACACTCTCCGTCGTTTCAGCCTTTGGCATTGATTCGGAAACAAGGAGCACAATGTCCTTCTCTGGTAGAGTGGCAGAACTCATGCCCGATTCCTTTTTAGAGGAGCCCCCACTGTTCCGTGTGGTGGAAGAACGAAGCAGTTCAAGTTTGCTTCGCTCGCTGGTGTACTGACAGAGAAATTTTGTCAGACGCTTGCCAGCGGCGCTCGTGAGCGGCTCCGAAAGCTGGAGTGGGTGCACCATTATGGTGGTTCCCTTCAAAGCGTGGTGGCTGGCGGGAGGTCCTTTCTTCGGGGGAATGGGTTGCTCAGTGTTTTCGCCGCCCACCACCGGCGTTTCATTCCTGCCGGAAGCAAGATCCGTCTGGATGAAAGCATCCGTCGATGCATCACTCCTTTCCTTATCCTCATCTTTAATGGGCGTCCCATGGGGCTTCTTGGTCGGGAGCGCACGTCTCTGATACGGAACCGACGGAAGGCGAATCGCCGCGACGCAAGCGGGCAGTGCGTCCCCCTGCTTTGGATCCGCACGACCCGCGGTCGGTCCTTGGTCCTGCAAACTGGAGGCACTGTCAAAAGACCCTTTAAACTTGGTCATCCAAAGGGCGTCGGCGCGATGCTGCTCGTTGGGGGGAAGCGGGGCCCGAAGGGGTGGGTATACGTACCCCTCCGGCTTCAAGGGCTCGGAATTCTGGGACAACGGCGCGTTGCCCGACATCCCACGATTCGACGCGGTCTTTTCTACCCCACCGCTAATGGCGGACCCACCGACGACGTCCTCCAGGCGGGCCTGGATCATCTTCCGCGCGGCCGGGCCTTTTCCCGCCGTTGACGCCTTCCGAGGCCGCTTCAAGGGCTGGACATTGCGGGCCCCCTCCGCGAGAGTCCCGTCCAACACCCCGGCCGCGCTTTCGCTCGCCTTCCGCGAATGCGCGGGCTTCACCTGAATCTCGCCCGCGTTCGTCGACAGGCTGAGCGTGAGGCGGCCGCGGGAAGTCGGTTTTGTCGAGCCGAGGCCAGGCCCGGGCTGATGCGGCCTCCCCGAGACCGGGCAAAACGCGCTCCGGAGGCCGCACTCGGGGCAAGGCGGGGCC